ACTAGTTACTTTTCTCAGGCCAGGTAACTGTATCAGTACTAGTTACAAATTTGTCGGTAACGTACTAGTTGTTCGTTACAGTTACATTTCGCTCGCCGGGGCCGCCTTTTTCCATTTTTTTCTCGCGCCACGTGACGCAAAACTCGGCGCTTACGAGATATTTTTCTCGGATTGGCTTTGTTTTGTCCTCACGTGTGTTGCCAGGGAGAGAGGGCGCGACAATTCGTTCCGGATGCCGTAGTCCTTGCCGGCCAACCTTCCTGGTTTATTGGTCCCGAGAATGGCATAAAGGACAAAGCAAGATGCGTGGCATCCTCTCTCTCTCTCCCACTGCCTGGCCTGAATAGACAAAGGCAGGAGACGCGCGGGCGGGCGGCGGGTCACATGTTTGGGAAACGGCGCGGCAGGTCAATTATGAAGAGATGGCGTGAAAGTACGGTCGCAATGGGCGAGGCAGTGCACTTGACCTTGGTCGCAGAAGCAATGAAGAGACGGCGTTTATTGAACCCAATTAGCTTGGAAAAGTGACCGGGGGAGGGGCGGCTGTTTTACGGATTGAACTACTCTACTCTGCCAAAAAGTAATAGTAAAAGTAACTAGTTACAAATTTTTCGGGAACGGTAACGATACTAGTTACTTTTCTGGACAAAAGTAACGGTAACAGTAACTAGTAAAAATTTTGGGCCAAGTACTTGTAACGGTACTAGTTACAAAAAATTGAGTAACTTTCCGAACCCTGTTGGTTAACCACTCTGGGTCGCCCTGACTGGACCCCCTATGGAGAGGCCCGTGTCTGTGAGGTAAATATTGAACCATTGGTAACTCCCAATTATGTGCATTGGATTCTGTAATATCACAGTTTTTGTTTTTGTTTTGTTACATTTTTAGCTGCACTTTTTGAGTGACCAATGGAGCAGCCCATTCAGGCTTAAAAAGGGGGCCCTTCCAACATCCACAGCCATCCTTTGCTCCTGCAAAAAGGAAGCCTCACGACCAGCTGCTGCCCATTCCCATGACCACTGCTATGCACAGAAGGCAAGTGCTTCCTGCAAGCTTCATGGGTCGTTGACGTCATCCACCATCGTTGAAGTTACGAAGGAGAACATAGAGCTGCAGAAACGTGTTTGTGGACTTCAAAGGCAGCTCCATGGTGAGGCTACTGACACATTTTCAACACCTCTGAAGTCACTAGAAAATATAAAAGTGCTGTCATCAAGGAAGAAGTACACTACAGACGACATCAGGAAGGGCCTACAAATTCGCTTTTCCTGTGGCAGTACAGGTTACAATACTGTTCGAAATCTACTCTCCAAAGATACAAAGTTGCCATCCATCCGTCTCTTTCAGTTGGAAACTGAGCACATCATTTTCAAACCAGGGATTTTGCATGAAGTACTACACCCTCTGAAGGAAAGGTTCGCTGGCTTGAGTGATGTGAGGGATCGAGATGTTGTGCTTGTGTTTGACGAAATGTCCACAAAAAAAAAGAATTGATTGGGACCCAAGTACTGGGGAATATATTGGTTGGGGAACAATTCCTGGGCATGAACACCTCCATGCAGAGAAAGGGGAGATATGAACATGGACCAGAAGAAGTTAGTCATCACGGAGCTTTTACAGAAAGCCAAGGACATTGGTGCCAATGTCGTTGCCATTGTCTGTGATTGTGGCAACAGGACTCTGTTAAGAAAACTTGGGTTTAGTACCCAAAAAAATAATATTAAGTATTGTATTCCGGACCCAATTGTTGTACAACCCCGTTGTACTTTTATTGTACCGTTTTTGTTGTACTATTCACACTTTTTCTTGCAGTGTGGTTCCCGCTTGATGTAGTGGGACTGTCTCCCACTTTCATTTGAGTAGAAACCCTGATAAATTATACGACTTTTTCAGTCAAGTCTACGATAAGTTTGATGCAGCATCGAGGTTTCTTGACTTCTGGTCTTTTAGCGTAGGCGCCGATCACATAAGCGCGAAATCGACCGTATGGCAGGACAGGAAAGTGGCGTAGCTGACCGACTCGGGACGGCGTGTTAGTGACATTATAGGCCCCTGCAGCAAAAGCTGCTTTCAACGAACGTTGGGTTAGCTTACATTTATGCAGAGCACGCCTATACAGGTCATCTGCTGGCTTAAAACCTTGTGAAGTAAGGTAAAAAAATCAATTGCGGGTTATTATTTTGAAAAATGCACATTCAAAGTATAAATTTTGAACAGTAGCCAAAGTAGCTCTGAGGCGTTTAAATATGATCCCTTGACCTTGTTTTGCAGCATAGCAGCACCGCCTATCATCCTCCTTTACTGAGCTTCGGGGCGCTCCTCCGATTTAGACTCACTGTCTCAAAAATCTTGGGCAAGCTGTTTTCAAGATGTTCAATATTGCACCGACGTGGCAGAAATGAGTCTGTTTAGTGACAAGTTAAAGGTAATATTCTGAACAAATGGTCTGACTTTCTTAAAAAGAAATCTCAAGAAGTTAACAACTTGTTTTGTCAATAGGAATGGAACTTGAATTCTTTGCCAAACTTTTATGGTGAAAAAATGAAGTTAAATGACTATGTAGTAGTTGGCTCTACGGAACCAACTATAACTGTTGGAGAATTAGGCGCCCCCCTTTATGATGCATATCGAAGAAATGAACTTGTATTCAATTCTTTACGTCCACACGGGATCATCTAAACAATGGTACCATCATTTGATTATTTCCATAAGTGATTACAAAATTGTAATTGTACTTCATCTTCTAGGTTTTTTATCAACTCCAGTTACTTTGAGAAAGTTTGTGATGTGTATCCCCTCCTTGCTCCAACGTACGAGTGCGAAGCTTTATGGTGTCACAAAATAGCCTTCCCTGCCAAATCCAACAAGCATTTAAAAGACATCCCGATACAAGAGGTTAGACCGTCCCTTATTTTTTCGAATTGAAGTGAGACGAGAGTTCGTGGTGCCAAAATGTTCGATTTCATGAGAAAACTCCCCTACCAAAGTTTGGTGGCGCTACGATGTACCATGGCCGAGCCTAAGGGGCCTAAGTGCAAAATTTTCAAAAAAAATTTTTTTGACAAAGTAAGGTTGCCTATAGGGTAAACAGGTCATTTTGCGGCCCTCTGGGCCAAAATTTCGAGCATTTTGACGTATCTTGAACCCTTCTGCCCGAAACCGCGCCTTGAACGCGTCGTAATTGCGCGCGCGCGAGCCGCGCCGCGCGGCGCTTTGCTATCAGCGGCCGCCGGGCGGGGCGCTAGTGCGCCGGCCGGCTGGAGCATCCCCCTTCCACCCCCACCCCCGGTGTCACTTGACTTGCACGGACCTGTCATTAGTACAGTAGTACAATAGTACAGTACATTTGAACTGGCGCGCTGCGTTCAGTTAGTTTTCGGTGTTAGATTTGCGCATAGAAAAGTGTGTTTGGTGCTGCGAGTGTCTTTGAAAATGCTATCGAAGTTTCGGAAAGACAGTGTGGTGCCCTTGATTGGGGCTGAGGCTGACAGTTTGCCCACCATGAACAAACTGCCAATTGTGAGGGACGTACTCCGTGTGTTTTTCTGCCACATGCGGAGAAAGCACAGCGCCCGCCATGGTGCGAGAACAGCAGCCAAATTAGTGAAGGATGTGTGGTCCCACACCAAAATACCATCAATACAGGTGATAAGGGTGACTGAAAAAATTGAGGCATTGCATCAAGAGTGGCGCGGCGTCTTCAAGAACCCCAGTTCGCCGCCCTCCCAGAGTGAACCCGGCCAGGACCTCAAGTCTCTGTTTGAAAATAAGCTAGATGCTTTATTTGACATTTCGAAGAGTGATGCCATGGAAGAAATGCAGCGGAGCCGTGCTCTGGCGCCAAAATGTGACGCCTCATTTTGGGAGGACCAACTGCTTTTCCTCCAGGATCAAAGAGGACTGCGCCTGCTGAGCCTTGGCGGTACAGATTCGAAAATGGAAAAGTTAGAAAGGGAAAGGGAGAAAACAGAAGAGAGACGAATTCAGAGACTTCTGGAGGCAGACCGGCGTAAGAGAAAAGAAGAAGAGCGCGCCAATTCCTCAGGTACGTGTCACACCCCCGCCCCGCCACGCCCCGCCCTGCCCTGCCCTGCCCCGCCCCACCCCGCACAGTGGGCCAGAAGACCGGTGGGGGCGGCCAAAACTCTAGACGCGTTTTGAGCTCCAGAGCCGCTAAATGGGACTCGAATCGAACGTGTGACCCCACCAATGGATTGCTCTCCGAATAAGGAATCCATTGGTGGGGTCGCATTTTCGATTCGAGTCCCATTTAGCGACTCTGAAACTCAAAACGCGCCAAGAGTTTTGTCCGCCTCCACCGGTCTTCTGGCCCACTGTGCCCCGCCCCGCCCCCTCTCTCCCGTATCCATGCATGACCAAAAGACAACCAACACGTTTCTTTGTTCATGCAGGCATTTTGTGTGAGCTGGAAGATTCCCATGATGAGGACTCAGATGAACCTTCCCGGCCCAAGAGGGGACGTACGAACGTCCTGACGCCTGAAATCGTTGAAGTCCTTGACGTGGCTCAGCTAAGCAACGCACGGGCCGCCAAACCCGTGTGGAACGCGATCGCAGATTGGGGTCTGAACAGCGTCATAATGGCACTACCCCACGACGACGTCAGTACGACCTCAGTCTGACGCCTCTCGTACGCCAGTGTGGCGACCGGGGCTAGTCTTTGTGGTCAGAGTCGGCGTCCAACTGGCGTCGTAATGCCGTCGTGCTACCGTCGTCTTTGGGTCGCAAAAAAGTTCGTTTTTAGTACGCCACTCGGACACCAGTACGGCAGTCCTCCAGCCGGCCCAGACCAGCCGCGGCGATACCCCACGCCTCGCCAAGTATGAGAAATTCACAGGGACAGTGCTTCTCCCCGCCCCAGGGTACTTCCCCGCAGATTCTTAGTTTTCACCATGACTAAAAGGATCCGGGATGTGTTCAAAGAAGAAGATTAAAACTAAAAGATACAGGTTTTTTTTTTCATTTTTAATTCATAAGTTCTTATTCTAGCTCAAAATTATTCAAAGGATCAATCAGATATTTCTTGCTATTTGAATGTATACAGAATGTCACACCACACAATTGCTGAACAGGAATTAAAAGCATATCTCCTGCTTGAAATAGTACATAACCCTTTACATCAGATGGCTCATCTACTGAGCAAGAAACTAGAGCAAAATACTGGCAAACATTGTGCAAAGTAGTTTTAACAAAAGTTAAAATCTGTCCATGATACATTTCACCTAAGTCAGAATAGGAACAGAAAGAGGATTCTCTTGAACCTCTCATATATGACAAGCTTACATAAAGCTGTTTATTCTTATACAGCCGTGAGAATGTTTGTGTACCATTGGGCACAGAAAAAGTAGAGAGGCAATCACGATATTCCAAGTTAGAGTCCATTTCGCCTACTACATAGGTGTTGGCACAAATTTTCTCCTTCAGAACAAAATTTATGCTCTTCTTAAGAATATTCTTACAAAATTGTTTTGCTTCACTGTTTTGCATTTTAGAGATTAGCCCAGGCAATTCTGTCAAGTAAGAAAAATTAGTAACAATTTGTTGAGGAGCATGTTGTGTGCCATGAGCCAGAGCAGACACTTTGCCATTGAAATCCTCAAGCCGGTAACAGCTAGTAACAAACAAATTTCCAGTATCTTCCACAGACTTAGCCAAGTGCCGCAGAAGGTGTATGTTCATTGACATGTTACGAACACCATAAAGATTCTCGAAACCGGAACAGAAACTTTTCAGGTCGTTGTCTGCCGTTACAGTATTAGCAGGAAAAATACTTTGCTTATCTAAAAGAGAAAGGCCTTCAACAAGCAATGACAGATTATTATAATAATCTGCCTTCATAATACCATTCATGATTGGCAACGCAAAATATAGTAGAAAGTTTCGGCACAGTGAAGCCTTCCAATAACCCAGCTTGGTAACATCCTCAGGCAAACGTTGAACAAAATGGGGTAATTTTAAACTTTGGAGCGCAATATTTACTTCAGCAGTTCTTTCAACAAGGGAGAAAGGTTTTGATGCAAATTTAGGGTTGAACCACAAATTCAGCAGTTGTTTACAAACTCCCATGAATACACAATGCATGCTGTCCACAGCAACAGATTCAATAAAATCAGAACAAGTCATATACGACAAAATAGTGGGCCCGTACACTCCTTTTGAATCTTTTTTTGTTTGAACACTGGTCTGCACACATTCTTTGTAATTATCAGCATTTCTTAAAATCAATTCATCTGCATGAGGAAACACTGTGACCATGCCTGTTCTCTCACTCTTCTCACCTACAATAAAACACTTAGGACATGATTCATAGCCTGCATGGCCTTTCATATTCATGAAGGTACTTTTGGCTGGAATGTCACAAGTGCCAGCCAAAACACAAACCTTTACAACTTCATTGTCTACTTTAAAACCATCTGTGTACAATTTGGACAGTTCTCTATACATGGGCAAAAGAAAAATGTTTGGATGTGGCTTTTCACAATCTCCCCACAGACCAGCAAGTATTAAATTTTCTGGTTTGAAACGAGAATGAAGCGGGAGCTCATTTATGACAAACACAAAGGGCCACAAAGAGTAAGTACTACACTCATAAATAGAAATCCCATCTGTGTACCAAGTTAAAGAAATATTTAGAGTACCATTCAAAAAATTCACTTCAGCTGTTTTATACACATTGCTATCATATATATCCTCAATGTTTTCTGGATGCACCTTTGTTCTTGAAAACCTGTGGTTAAGCTCATCTTTAATACCTTCTCTTTTAAAAATTTTCTCAAGCTGAGACTGAATGGAGCAAGTAATAAAATATTTTACCTTGCTATTTTTGCAGCTACACACATCTTTAGAATTCTCTCTTTGTTTCCAACACACATTGCAATAGTATGAAATTTCCACTGGATTTTGATCTATCTTTAGAGAGCTAAAAAACATATGCTTGGTGTAAGGCAGTGTTTTACTGCTTTCTGGAAAAATAACATGTAGCAGATCTAAAAGCTTACATAAATCAGCTCCACTCATTTTTACTGATTGAGCAAATGCAAGAATAGAAACTAGAGTGTCCATTTGTTCATTTCCCAAAACATTCACTGATTCAGGTGTAGTGTCTTCCGTAGGCCACTCTTGATGTGGAAACGCTGGAGATGAGATACCAGCAGGGATATCACCTGTTGAACCAGTGTCAGGATCCAGTAACGCAGGGACGTTCAAAAAGTCACTCCAATGCAATTCCACTGAAAACAAAAAAAAAATTATTAATTGAGATCAGAAACAAAGCCTACTGGTCCTATGACAGAACATTATCTTTCAAAGATGTACCTTGCTGAAACCCTGAAATGATTAGGTTGTCGCTTGAAATTATCGTTGACTGAAATGATGGAACTGAAAACAAAAAATGAAATAAGTAAGTAAGAAACAGTGGACAACACACCAGACTAGACACAACGCACCAAACTAGAAAATGCTCTCACCTTCTGTCATAGATTGAAGTTGTATGTTGTCAATATTTACATGACTGTAAAATGTTTTCTCAGTCTCAGCAGTGGATGGTATTTCTGTAATCGCAACGAGGGTAAGAGAAATGCTGTGGTAACCAGCAAATAAAAAATAAAGTAAGAGTGAAGAAAGGCCTGCAAATAAATACCTTGAGAACCACTGGTGGTTTGCAAACTCACGGCTTCAATGGGATGAGGATCATTGGACCCAGTTACAATTGGAAGATAACCTGTAAAGTAAAGAGTTAAATTTAAGCAGAGAGCAATGATAAGTACTGGTGAAGCCATTGACTTGCTGGCTTCGAAACATACCTTGAAAAGGTGTAACTTGAGGTGTGGCATTATCAGTACTGTAGCTTGGTCCAAAGTTTTCTGTCGGACACACTGTGGCGATTATTGGAACAGACAGCACACTCGCTGGTGGAGCGCATGACGACGGTGAACTGCAATACAACACACAAAACACGATAGTGGCACAAGGATTCACACGTTTTCATTGGTTATGTTGCACTGTTTATGTGCGGCTTACTGGTGAAGTGCAGGAGAAGGATCACCACTGGAGATGTTTTTCAGAAGTAGTTTAGCTTTCTTCTTAGGCAGCAACTTGTCTTCGGACATTGTAGTTGAAATTGCATCAGTTTTCGCAATAAAAACCAAAATTAGGAGTAAGACGAAGCTTGTTTTTCGTCACTCGGAGCACACGAGTTGCGCGCACACACACGCCCACACCCTGGCACAGCCTACTCGCAACGCAGCCACAGCCCTGCAGCGACAATGGTACCAACCTAACAGTCAAGCCAATGTCAACAATACCCACGCCTGTACGCCCTCCGCGCTCGTCTCGCCACAAACCATTTCAAAACCTTTTATCCGAGATCAAAGAGGTAAGAAATCAGGCTACCGTAGTCAGTTTAATGTGTGTATGGCTATTGTTTTTGAACTGTTTGGTTGTTCATACATGATGACGTCAGAACAGTGAAAACATTCAAAACAGCCGTCAAATGGACTGACTGTGTGATGTCGAGAAAGCTCTGTCAATTTTGTCTGTTCGTTCTCGATTTCTTTTCCTGGTTGTAGGGTGAAATGCCACCATTACGTGCACGTGTAGTGCGGCGCTTTCCGCATGCGTTGGTGTTTGTCGAAAATCCACCAAGTGTGGAAATAATTAGGCAAGACCAGTTCTTGGACGAAGATGGTGCGTTTGAGGTGGGCGCTCGTAGGCGTGTAAAGCAGAAGTCGTGGAAAAACCCTCTGGACTGCGTCATATTAGAAATAGGTAACTAATTTATTAATATTTGTCATACTGTACTGTTGTGACTTACTTTTTCATGTTCAAGACGTTTTACTTTTGCATCCATTAATTTGGTTGTTTACATTTTTAGGTACCAAAATAAAGCTCCAAAAATTAAAGGTCAAACCTGATGGCACAATACATGTGCCCGTACCAAATGATCCACTAGATGACACTGGAGAAACAGTTCAGTCAGATGAGGCAGAGGTTCGTTTTATTGGTTCCCGCTACTCAGAACAACTAAAACAAAAGCAACAAGCTGCCCAGGCTAGGCAGGACAATTTAGAAACAATTGCCATGTATCTCACAGATACTAATCCAGGTATGGAACTTAACGTTTTCTGTTTCTTCATTTTTAAATAATTTGTTTTGTCGCTTAGTCAAAAAGTTAATTATTTATTGATCATTCCAGTCTTGCCTTTGCCGCCTCAACACAATCCAAGAAAACCATTGGTCCACTCAGCAGAAGTTTTAGCTGAACTCAAAGAGCAGCTGTCAAATTTGTCATGCTGGACAAAAATGGAAGGCGATGTCAGTATGAAAGAAAAACGAAAAATTTAACCCAGAAGTTGGTTTTGTAAAATATTAATTTTTTTTTTTTTAATTTAGGTTGAAATAAGTCCAGGCACTAAGGTTTTCTACAATGGGTCGAATTTGTGCCTTTTGAATGATGCTCACAGGGACAGTCCCTCCAGATTGCTGGGTGCAATAATAAAGGCACTAATTCCACCGCACATAAGAGCAAATCGGGCGCTCACCTATTCTGGCGGCAATGGAGAGAGTGTGGGAGTGCCTACGCAAATCGTAGCTGCAGCTAGAGGTAAAATTGACATTTCTGTTAATATTTTTGTTCATAAGAGTTTTGCTTTTTTGACAGTCTGCTTTTGTTTTTTTAGGCATGGTGCAATGTTTTTTCAAACTTAAAGAACCGCTAGACACCGCTCGGATTGTCGCCAGCCTGCTGGCTTATAGTCAGCGCCCAAAGCAGCCTCTGCCTGTGTCTGCACCCCCATCCACTGCAGGTGTTCAGCAGCCTATCTATACATCCTCTTCTTCAAGCGCATTTCCCTCATCCTCTGCAGGTGGTCCTATCCATTCATCTTCTTCTTCAAGCACATTCAGTTTTGGCCCACAAGGGCCTGCTGCAACAGTGGTGCAAGAGAGTCAAACATTTACTCTTTTAAGAAGTGCTACTGAAACCTTGATTAATGAATAATTTTAGGTCCAGATTCTAGCCAATTTTTTTTCGATTCTGTTAAATTTTGTTGTGACCCCCAAAGTAAAAAGTTTTTGCATACTGTGGACAAATCTCAGTAAATGCTGTTTTTTTTTGTTTCCTTTTCTTAAATATAGTTTATTTTTGTTTGTTGTGACTTAAATTTTATTTTTTGTTGACTTTGACTCTTCTCTGTGCTTGGGCATGGGAATGAACAGCCATAGGTGCAATGTATCATGGACAGAACAAGATCTTATGAATTAAAAATGAAAAAAAACCTGTATCTTTTAGTTTTAATCTTCTTTGAACACATCCCGGATCCTTTTAGTCATGGTGAAAACTAAGAATCTGCGGGGAAGTACCCTGGGGCGGGGAGAAGCACTGTCCCTGTGAATTTCTCATACTTGGCGAGGCGTGGGGTATCGCCGCGGCTGGTCTGGGCCGGCTGGAGGACTGCCGTACTGGTGTCCGAGTGGCGTACTAAAAACGAACTTTTTTGCGACCCAAAGACGACGGTAGCACGACGGCATTACGACGCCAGTTGGACGCCGACTCTGACCACAAAGACTAGCCCCGGTCGCCACACTGGCGTACGAGAGGCGTCAGACTGAGGTCGTACTGACGTCGTCGTGGGGTAGTGCCATTATGACGCTGTTCAGACCCCAATCTGCGATCGCGTTCCACACGGGAAGTGCTCGCCGCCTCTTTCGGCGCCGCCACTGGGAAAAGTGTGAGCGAGACAAATATCAACAAGAACACAATCCATAGAGAGCGGGAAAAGCAGCGATCGGCATCTGCGGACAGCGTGCGGGATAGCTTTCATGAGAGTGCTGACAGTGTCCTCACCGTTCACTGGGACGCGAAAATCGTGGAAACCCTTTTTGATGGAAATGAGTCCAATGAACGGTTGGCCATTATTGTGACAGGGGCCAGTTCAACTCAGCTGCTTGGCGCCCCTGTTGTAGCAAATGGGACTGCTCAGGTGGCCAAAACTGCAGTTGTGCAGCATCTTCGTGATTGGCATCTGGTGGACAAGGTCAAGGCCATGTCCTTTGATACACCGCCCGTGAACACTGGTGAGCCAAATTTTATCCACGTGGCCGCTGCCTTCTGCGTTCGCACCTCATTATTATTTTTTATTTTTAGGTATTATTGGGGGCGCTGCACTCCTCATAGCAATGGAACTTGGCAAGGACATGCTGTGGTGTCCGTGCCGTCACCACGTTGATGAGAGAGTCCTCGAAGGAGTTTTTCGCGAAATTTTCGGTCCTTCCACGGGACCAAACACACCCCTCTTTCTTAAACTTCGGGTAAAGTGGAAGCAACTCAACAAAACCCAGTACTGCACTTTCAAGTCCTATGCTGCGTCCCGCACAGCCCTTGCCCCATGTGCGGATGAAATTATACTTTTTGCTACAACTCAAATCCAGGTAAGAAAATAAATCATTGTGTATTGCATTATTCCATAAAATATTAATTTTTTCTTTGTTGTTTTTAGGCTGGGCAACCCCGTGGGGACTATTTAGAGTTTTTGGAGATTGTCATCATGTATTTGGGTGGCCCTGCACCCCGGCGGCGCCCAATCCAAGGAAAGGCCACGTGTGCCTTCCGGCCACCAGGGCCCATCCACAGTGCCCGCTGGATGGCGACGGCCCTTTATGCCATAAAAATGACCATGTTCAGAAAACAGCTCAAATTGAACCAAACGGAAGCCAATGGGCTTCTTAAAGTGACTATTTTTGTAGTGCGTTGTTACGTTGTACAATGGTTCAGCGCCCCTCATGCAGTAGCAGCCCCTAAAAATGACTTGAAATTTCTCAAAACTTTGATTGAGTATGAAAGTGTGGACAAGAGAGTAGCGGTTGCTGCCCGCAACAAATTCCTGAATCATTTGTGGTACTTAAGTGAGGAGTCACTTGGACTATCTGTGTTTGATTCTACCCTGCCTGATGAAGAGCGCCGACGGATTGCTGACAATATTCTGCATGGAGAAGGGCCTGAAGACCCAATGAAGAGACTAGTATTGAAAATAGAAGAAGTCCCCAACCTCAATTTATGTGACTTGGCCTCCAGGAACACTCAGAAGTTTTTTAATATGTTAGGCATAGGCATGGATTTTCTTCGCAGTCCAGTAGTAGATTGGGAATCAAGCCAGGTCTATCAGGAAGGCCTTGTCATTGCCCGCAATCTGGCGGTTGTTAATGACCATGCAGAGAGAAGTGTAAAATTGTTTTCTGATTACAACAGAACAGTTACAAAAAAAGAGGAGTCCTTCCAAAACCTTCTACTTAATGTGCACTCTCATAGACAATCAATGCCCAATGTCAAGAAGGACACTCTGATTAAAAAGTATCAGAAATAACAATGTAAAATAATAGAAGAGCATGCATTATGTATAAATTCGCTGTACTTTTCAATGATTTTTATATGATATTGACAATTTCAAGAATAAATCACAATGCTAAATTGTGTTTAATTTAAGGCCGATGCACTGCCTGAAGTGATGGGAGGGGGAAGTACCGCAGCGAGACAGCACCGGTGTACAGTGTAGCGCCGTGCCGTGCGGCGCGCGGTGTGACGCGGCGCGGCTCGCGCAATTACGACGCGTTCAAGGCGCGGTTTCGGGCAGAAGGGTTCAAGATACGTCAAAATGCTCGAAATTTTGGCCCAGAGGGCCGCAAAATGACCTGTTTACCCTATAGGCGACCTTACTTTGTCAAAAATTTTTTTTTTGAAAATTTTGCACTTAGGCCCCTCAGGCTCGGCCATGGTACATCGTAGCGCCACCAAACTTTGGTAGGGGAGTTTTCTCATGAAATCGAACATTTTGGCACCACGAACTCTCGTCTCACTTCAATTCGAAAAAATAAGGGACGGTCTAACAAGAGGTAATAAAAATAAATGCCATTTTGGTAAAGAAGCAAAATTATCATATCTTTTTCTTTTCTCCATTGTATGGCATTGTTGCAGCTGGAGCAGCCTGCTGGGCATTTTGTAATCGTTGGCCCCAAGGTCTTCCACTGGGGTTTCAATAAGGGTCAGTATTTACATGATCTGAAATTTCTGTGAAATGGAATAACCTCCTTTTTTTCTTGGGCTTTCATTGCATTTTTCCTCTGTATATTCAGGGTACAACGTTGCGGAGGGATGCCAATTTGCACCTAAAAGTTGGCGACCCTTGGGAGAGGAGTATCTTCCAAATCCTGGACACCCGTAAGTTTTTCTTAAATGTCTTAACTGACTGAAGGCTTTCCTTTCAATTGTTTTGTGTTTTGTGGTTCAGATAGCAGATAATTTTTCTTCACACAAAGAGTTTGGTGCTTTCTGCACAATCTCTGTGATACTTCCTTCTTGCACGAGTAACCTGCAGCAAATGTTTTTCTGTTTTATTTTTCAAGTGATCTAGAGCCACCCACTGAACCTTCGATGAGAGTTCCGATGTCATTGTTTTATTCTGAGAGTGAAGGTGAAGGAGAAGATGCAAAAGAGGATGACAAACCGAAGTACATAAGTTTCAATACTTTTCCCTAAGCCTTTCTCCTTGACAAACATTGATAAGGTTTCTTTTTTCACAGAAAATCAAAGCAGCTCAAAAGAGGCAGAAAGACAGGAAGGGCTGGTAAGAATGTTCTTCCACGATCAAATAAAAATGCTTTTCTGTACGACTTCTAACCTATTTCTATGTTTTCGGTGACAGGGCCTCATCAAAGAACATGTCCGTTATGTGATAAATCAATATTGTCCACCAATTTGTCAAGACATCTGAGGGAGTCCCACAAACTCACTGAAGAACAAATTGACCATTACAGTTTAAAGGCAACTAAACATTTTCAAGCAAAGAAAGTATTTTTCCAGGACTTGCCAAAGAGGTTGAGAAATGATTGGACAAGAAAAGAAACCAGAAAAGATACTTTTACTTTTTTAAAAAAATATAATCTTTGTTTGGCAATGGTTGGTACATTTTCAAGATTTTATTAATTCTGAAGTTTGGCATGTGTGTTTCTGTTTACTCACAACGTGTCCTCTCTTTTCAGAAAAATGACTCGGATAATTAATCTTGAGGCCAACCTGCATTGTTCCTCTCGTGTTCTGTAAATTCTTAATGTTAGTTTATTTCTGAGTTCAGGAAAAAAGCCAGATAGTTATAAACATCTTTAACATCTAGTCACTTATCTGATGTAATTTGAACAACTGAACTAACTAGTGCCATGTGAAAATTTTGAAATATATAAAATGTAATAAGTTCTGCAAGTAATTAAAGCATCATCAACATTGGATCAATAAAAGTGTTTTTCTTACCACAACACCTGGCAAACACATCACTTACATAGACTGGGAAAGTCAATTGGTCCAGCAAGACAATCCAAAATCCACATTTTTGGTCCGATTGTCACCAACTTGTTATCAATCTCTTTGTCATCAAAAAATCAGGTTCCTTATCGCGCTTTGGGTGTTAAATCATAAATTGGCATTTTTTGTAATAAACATAGCAAAACCGTGGAAGATGTTCATAAACCTCGTCAAGATGTATTTTGAACATGCAATTCCAGTGCAGGTCCGGAGAGCATGGAGAAGTTGTTATGGGAGCCCAAGGAATGTGCTCTTGTAAGGTATGTATAAAAGGAGACACCAAGAATAGAAAGTATTTTTGTGAAATTTCAAGCTGTAATCCCTCTTCAAGAAGGCTCTTTAAGATTTGATTTGCCAATTGAATGAGAAGGGATGTAAAGGAAACAATCATGTTTGAAGATCACACTGAGCATGACTATGGGGAAGTTAACGCAAAGCTCGGGGCAGATGGCGCCACCACCGCGCGGGCCGGCCGGGAGGCGGCCCTGGCCAGGCCTTTGGGCCTCCGGGCCGTCATTATGGTGTTTCTTTTCGGATTAGGCGCATTAAACCTTGACAACAGACGTGTAAGTATACTTTATCGCGTAAAAGACTCAACTTTTCACGTATGGATGTAATTAACCCCCGCGCTTGCACGCACCCGACGATGTTTCTGCATGTCGCTGCGTGGGCCACCTGTAGTTTGAGGTTACTATGTTTGTCACATTTAACTAATTTTTGCAGGAATTCCTTATTGACACAAGTAGAAATGAAAACCACGTACGCACATCTTACTATTCCTAAATTGAAAGCACTCCTTCGGTCCAGAGGGGCATCATTGAAAGGGAGAAAAGCGGACCTCGTTAACAGGTGAGACCAGCTGACTTGTCTGCCTCTCTTTGAATCATGAAATTAAATGGAACTCATTGTTTTCTCCTTGTATTTCCATTATTCAGATTGATTTGTTATGATGAGAATTTCAATTTTAATGCCAAAGTTCCAAATGACATGTTGTTCGATTCCAATAACAACATGTCGCGCTTGCTCCTCCCAGATAATACTCATTACAAAGATCTTAATGCCAGTAGCCAAGTGCCAAAGTTGCTTAAAGAGAACATGCATCATTATCTTGAGAGGTAAGTGTTTTGTGGTGTCCTATTTAAAGTTGCTGTTTTTTTTTTTTTTGTTGTGTTTAATTTACTATTGTGTACTTTGGTTTCTTCAGGTTTTCTGCTAGACTGGACTCAGGACAGTCACTGTATGATAACTCTTTTCTTCTGAGTTTGCGGTGGGCTACTGACAGCAATGTTTGTGCTTTTCAAGGATGTTGTGCTGCAATGATGTACAAGCATGTGAGATACATTGCTGATGTTCTCATTGCCGACGATGGCAGTATTGTTGGTTGTCAGTGTGAATGTGCTGCTGGAGAAGGACCCAATGCCCACTGCAAACATGTCATAGCTGTCATGTGTGCTCTGGTTCATCTGCAAACTGAAGGTGTTTTAAATTTAAGGAAAACTTGCACTCAGAAGCTCCAGGCGTTTCATCGCCCATCTAAGGAGTATTGTGGTACTCCTATCAAAACTGAAAGTCTGCCCCGAGGAAGTTACAATCATCCCACTAAAGTTAATTTTAACCCAATTGATCCAGAGAGCATTGACAGAGTGAAATACAACAGAAGAATAAGAAATTTGACCATCGGTTTTTGTGCTTCTAACAAGAGTACTATGCCTTTCATGCATCTATACAAACCTGCCAATTTGTATGCAACCAACAATGACCATGATTATGCGGGAAATCCAGAGTACTTCATGCTGCAGCATTTGAAATTGAGAAATGTATCGGACCAAGATGTGGCAGAAATAGAATCGGCGACAAGGCAGCAAGCAAGATCTAAGTTTTGGAATGAGGTACGCTCCACCCACCTAACTTCTTCAAACTTTCATTCAATAAGTAAAGTTGTGTCGGAAGAAGCTAAGATAAATCTTGCAATGAGGCTAATGAACCCGAATCCATTCACCAATAAGGCTGTGCAGCATGGTAAAGATTGTGAGCCGAAGGCCATTCAGAAGTTTGAATCATTCATTGCAGGTGGGGGGACGACTAAAGAGTGTGGTTTCTTTATCAGCAAGGAGCACCCTTTTTTAGGTAGTTCACCTGACAGGCTTCTGCCACTGTCCGTTGTTGAAGTGAAGTGCCCATACAACCAAAGACAGTCACTGATCAGTCATGAAACTGTTCCCTTCCTTACTTTAAACAATTCTGGTGAACTAGCTTTAAAAGAAGATCATGAATATTATTATCAGATCCAAGGCCAGATGTTTGTTGTTGGTAAACCCTATGCAACTCTTGTTGTTTACACGTTCAAAGATTTTAAAGTAATAGATGTTCCCCGTGATGATCACTTTATAACCCAAATGGTTTCAGATTTAGAAGACTATTATAATTGTTACTTTAAAAAATTGCTCTTAGAAAAATATTTGTACAAAAACTATGGTGCTTGTTTTTTTAAGTAATATCTATAATGCTAAGTTGTTTTTGGGACAGTATTTTACATTATTGCTGCAATGTGATATAATATTTGTAAAGAAGTTGTGCTGACTTCCAAAGCTTGTCATATATTGTGCACGGCGATTTTTACTAGACTGAACTACTAAGCTGTTATATATTTATATTTATATATTTATAAAGGAGTTGTGCTGACTTCCAAAGCTTGTCATATATTTTGCACGGTGATTTTTACTAGACTGAACTATTGAGCTGTGATTAATTTCAATTTAGGTGTTGCTTTTGTGAAGCTGGAAGATATCTCTATCTTACATGTTAATGTTGAAGTTTGGTCTCATTTATTGATTAATTTGCACTAGTTGTTACATAACTAGAAATTATTTTTTAAGTCTTGTTTGCTAATGTTGCTGAATAGTTACCATTTAAATGAAACATGTTTGCGGTTGATCTCATATCATCATTTGAAAGTCAATTATATTTCGTACATTCTTACAGTCAATTATGCTTTTTTTGACACTATACCTTCTCTGAAATTACATAGCATGAAGCAAACAAAAAAATATTTTAGAACAAATAGGCACATAGAATCCATTCATAGGTGTCTGCAGTATTTCATAAGTCTTAAGCAAACCGATCAGCCTTTCTATGTGTACTCTTTTTGAAGAAAGTTTCCTATCTTGGAGCAGAGTGACACCGGGAAGTTGACTTTTTCCTCTCAAAAATGTTGGGATATTTACAGTAACACCACTGGATGCAAATAAATCTTGCACATCAAAGCCCCTATCTGCCATGATACTATCTGACCGCTCACATTTATTTAGTAAACCACTTCTCTCAACTATCTGACGATCACTTGCACTTCCTCCATATCCACTAGAACAATGACAGAGAAGACCAGATGGAGTCGCACCAACCTCAAACTTGCCAGTACACCGGTTCTTGTAGTAACTAAACACTGCTTGTTGTGCTGCAGGGTTCTTAGGCTTATTGATTGGCACCTCTGTGCAGTCCACGATGACTCTAGTGGATGGATAGTATTTTCTGAAACCTTCTGGCATGAAGAAGTCTACGAGTTCTCTGCTAGGCCAAATTTCTAACAAACTCCACATTTGATACATAAAATTTATCCAAGTCACAAAAACATTTGAGACAGTAACATCAGACACACCAAAGAAACGTGTTAGTTCATAATCATCCTTATTCTTTCTAATCTTCATGAGGCTAAGGAGGAACTGGTCTTGCACTGACAAATTTATTGGCTGAGCGATGGCGAAGCCTGTTACTCCATTGGGGTTGAAAAGTTTTTCCTGTCTGTCTGTCTGTGTGTCCGCACTACTCCTCCTGAACGGCTCGGCCGATCTCGGTGAGATTTTGCACACTTTTTAGGTATGTCCTTGGCTCGGCACACGCGAAATTTCACCATCCTAGCTCAACTGGATCAGTTTTTATAGCCGAAAAACACACAAAAAACGGCGAAAAATCGAGTTTTCTGCAGGCAGATTAATTCTGTCTTGAAGAAAGGGGGATCTGGGGGCGGAGCCCCCCAGCCTGGACAAGTGAAAAAGTTACAAGGGTCAAGGTCGAGTTATCTGTTGATGAAGCAACTCTATCTAGAATAAAGGGGGTCTGGGGGGCGGAGCCCCCCAGCACGCAACAAATTAGACGTAACCGACGACGGAGAGGCCGTTGCCTGCCGATGGCAGGCTAGCGCCGCAGGCCGAGGTAGGCACGCCAGGCGCGGATTGGAGGAACAGGCCGCGAGACACCGCGAAGCCTGTTACGACAAGACGAGGTCTGGCGTAAACCTACCTCGTTCTAATATGTAACGGTGTTGTTTCAGTCATTTCATCCAGATGCATGGCTTTCAGCGTTTTGGAGTCAACTGACTGGTGGGAGACTTTTTCTGCGATATGAAGAGACCTACACCGGCGTTGTCATAGCCCTACAGACAGAGCCATTGCGTCTGGTCCTTTCCTGGTGCCGGGCAGGCCTTTCAAACCCTAAGGAGATTCATGGCAGATATTGCTGTAGGACACGCAATATTCCACCGTCAGTAATTAGGACCCTGGATTTTTGATTGTGATTTGAGATGGTGAGGTGTGTAGTTTCTTTCTAGTTTTTTGTTTTTTTTACTTTTGTAACTGATGTTCTTTTGGGCGGCACAGACCATTGTCAGCGGGTGGAAACTCTATTGACGAAAAAGACATGCAAAGGTTTTTTGTGCAGCTTAGATCTCGGAACCCAGAGGTGGTAGGTGAAATCCGAGGTCATATTTGGAATCCTCATAAAATTTCACTCGGCGTAGGGTATGTTTGGAGCGGGAGGTCAAGGAAATGGTCGGTCATTTTGCAATGAGAAAAAGAAAAAAAGGAGAAAAAACGCTGTGGGACCATGATCGAAACGTTGCATTGTTTTTTGGTAACACTTAATGCAAGAGAACGGGACCTCGTAGGTAAATTCTGAGGTCATATTCTGAATCCTGAGGAAATTTCCTGTGCATTACGCTGCCTGGGAGCCGTCAACACACCAAAATAACAGAAAACCGTTGCCGTGAAACTGAGAGAGGGTATGCAGCGATTGTATTGCATAAAATTACAAAACAGTGTGCCGTTGACTGCGTGTTCTAAAGGGTACAGACCCTCCTTCTTTGAAACTTATAGGTGGAATGCACACACGAAAGCACGCTGAATTCATATCTGTACTCAGAATTTGAATTGGCCTTACCGTTGTCTCACATTAAGCATGACCAAATAACAATTTTCGGGATAAAGCGTAAATTTCAATCCTGGTCCCAGAGCGTTTTTCACCTGTTTTTTTACTTTCTCATGGAAAAATGACTGACCATTTCCTTTGCCCCTGGCACTAAATATGTCCTACGCCGAGTGAAATTTTATGAGGATTCCAAATATGACCTCGGATTTCACCTACCACCTCTGGGTTCCGAGATCTAAGCTGCACAAAAAACGTTTGCATGCCGGTTTTGGCAACAGAGTTTCCACCCGCTGGTACATTTCTTTTCGGAAGCTTTGAAACTTATTTCTAAAATTTTATGCTTTCTGATTTAAGTTTCTTGATAAAAACATGATCTTAATTTGCCGATATCAAACTATTTCGTATATTAGCGTTATTTTTTATTTCATTATATGTTGCCTACCCTACACCCCCAAAATGGTGGACCCCGTGAGCACGTGACCTCGCTCGGCCAATCAAAACTGACCACCTCGGTTGCGGGTCTATTGGGGTTCGAAGGTCCACCAGAGAGCAGCACCGTCGACCCAAAAAAAAAATGTTCACCCTGAGCGGCGAGTTTGAACTTGTTTGTGTTGGCGTGGGTGTAGCGTCTGTTGTGGTGGTTCAGTTCGTGAATGTAGGCGGGCACTTTGTTGAATTTTTATTGTTATTGTTGTTTTTATTGTTTATTGTTGTTTATTGTTGTTACCTACGATGGATCCTACTGAGCCATTGATAGATTTTTGTGATCTAGTTTCGTTTTTAGGGGTAGATAGTGCTAAATTCCAAAGTACTAAAGTGTGCCGGGAGGGCTCCGAAATCCTTAAAGCTAAGCATGTAATGAATTGTGGGATCGTTATGAGAAGGGACCATACAATACAATTCATGGCATCTGTAATTTCCTCGGTTAACCTTAGTAGGGCGCCTCCTTATGAGGTTTTGTGAGCATAGGTCTAACCGCACCGGCCAAGACCATTGAAGCTCACTGTGGTTGTCAGGCAGGAAACATTGCCTGCAAGCACATTTCGGCTGTTCTGTTCCACATCCAGAGGTGAGTTTTACGCCTGGAGCGTTTTACGATGACGTTCTCGTCGGCTGTATGTGTTCTTTTGTCTCAGCAAGACCTGGTACAAAGTGAACACTTCATTCATTCCCAGTTGCTTTCATTGGTGTTATCTTCTTTTCAGGGAACCATTGGGCAGCTTTGATGAGCTTAGCTGCACTGATCTACGTCAGCAGTGGGGAAGGGTGAAAAAATGTGTCGAAGAGAAGTACAGTCCTGTTCCTGTCCAGCAGTTCATGTGTGATGCCCACAAGTCAGGCAGCAAGAATGTGGCATCTCAGCTTCGGAGTAACACTGCTTTGAGGCAGTATTTACTGTCTCATTATGTGAAGTCTCTACCCATGGCTGGTATGCCCTCTTTGTTTAGAACAAGGGGCATCGTGCTGGGTGGCTCATCACAGGCTTCAGAACATCCTGCCACTCCTCCTGGACCCCCTGCCGCTACCTCCACCCCCAATGCCCGTAACCAGGTATTGTGAGTGATGTGTTGGGAAAGAAGGTTCAAGAAGTGCACCGAGTCCCTTATGAATCTGGGGACTTGTTTGAATTCTCCCACTGCGTCGTGGCGAATCGCCGGAGTCACTGCTGATTTACGGATAGAGTGGTGGAATAGATAAATTCAAGGTAGAGCTGTCTGCTCAACCTTCTCACCGTTCTTTTTTCAGGTTCATTTCGGTGCATGGGGAGATAAGTGATATAGTTTTATAAAGTTATGGTAATATTCTTTTATTTTTGCTGTTCACAGATGGATCATTTTACGCAAAAGCCATCGTCACCAAAGAGACTCCAAAAGTGTGTCAGATGCTAGAAATACATTGGCTTGAGAAGAATGAATCCGTTTATGTTGTGGACACCAAAACAAGCACTGTAGACCCCGACTCCATTTTAGAAGTTGGCCTCCTATTTGTGAAATTGGGGGAGAACAGGAAAGGAGAAGAAAAGGTAGACATTGTTTCATCATCCCTGAAGCATGCCGAAGAGGCTTTGCAAGACGCCTTGAAAGGAAAAGTACTGTTCCAAGAACATCTCAGGTTAATCACAAATAACATGTTAACTAGACTTTTTCTCTTTTTACAGCCTACAAGCTGAAGAGATACAGGGTTTAAAAGAATTAGCTGAAGAAAAACTAAGTGCTGTGGACAAGCTAAATAAGATCATAGAGAGGAACCCGCATAAGGCCAAATATTAAGCTGTATGAAGGTCTAAGAATAGGCTTCTGCAGAGGTCTAGAAGAGAGTTATACTCTCCTCACTGCTTCATCATTCAACTGAGGGCGCTGATGAGGAGGCACAATTCACATAGACGAGTTAAGAGGTCAAGGAGGGCCTCATTTAAAAAAATACGATTTCAAGAAATCCTAGGAGTCACGAAGTCAATTTGATTATTGTGTAAGAGTGTGGAGAAAGAAAAGAAGTGGTGTTGTGAAGTTGTGGCTCAGGGGACTACCAATGGCAGTGGTACCAATGTGGTCGATGTGAATCAAAATGCTGGTAAATTCAAAAAATTCCAATGCTAATGTATTCCACAGTGTTCTAACAATGGAACATCTTTAAAGTCCATCATTATTAAAATGTTCTTGGCAGAAAGAAGGCAGTAAATTTATTTTCACGGGTTGGCAACTAGTTTCTCGGCGTCTGCGCCCTTGCGAAAATCGCGAAGTTGAAAGCACCAGCAGTCGCGCATTAAAACTGCCCATCCATTGTTGCTGACGTTGAATTGTTTGGCTTGTTTCAAAAGGCTGTGGTTCTCTAGTCATGTTTTCTTCAATTCTGTGTAATAGTTCTCCCTTACAACGTATCAACACCACGACGGTTGGTTTGACAAACTTCATAAACTCGGGAGGGATGGTTTCGAAACGCGGGTGAGTCTTGTTCGAGGAACATGAGCACTGCAAGTCGCGAGGTGGAGCGAAGTGGTCCTAGTGCTAACTGAATTACAACAACAACAAAATTGTTTTATTGACAAAAAAAAAAAGGAATATTTGAGAAACTATATGTCAGAAAAAAAGAACTTTTGTATTGCTAATTTTCTGTGAACATTTTTTTAGAAAGTCATCGCACAAAAATTGAAAATTTGTTTTATATGATTTTTCAAAAGCAGGAAACAAAGAAAAAAAAATTCCAATGCTAATCGCATTGCAGGGTGTTCCCAGTTTCATAACTGGTTTAAAAGTAAGTTTTGAAATACCAATAAAAAGGAGTCCTAGTTTGGGAACGGTATTGCAGCAAAGTTTGTCAAAACAGTAACAAATGTGTAGAAATCATCGTTTGGCCTAACTTTAGGCAGCCACTGCGTCTAATCTAAGGCGGCTAATCGTTCTCCCTCAACGGGTGGGTGTTCTTTGGGCCTTACTTTAGAACACCTTTGTTACGGAGTGCGATTAGCCGCCTTAGTTTGGGAGCGGTATTGCAGCAAAGTTTGTCA